GTAAGGGCTCATTTTTGAGTTACTTTAACTCCCCAGGTTCAAATCATGGATCAGCTGCTCAAGTCACGCTCCCCTCGGGGTCTCCCTCTGTAAAGCTGAGCCTCACACGTTTTAAGCCAATCAATGGGGGCTGGAGGTGGGGCGGGGCCTGTTGGGGGCAGGGCCGGCTCACCTGGTCCTGCAGTCGGAGTTGCCCAGGGACCTTCAGTGGGTAAATGTGCCTCTGCTGATCCTCGGCTTCCCCATGTATAAAAGGAGGCCAACACTAGTCCCACCGCCAGGGTTGTCCCAGGGACTCAGTGCAGAACCCTCTGCACATTGCTAGGCCTGACAGGTGCTCACAACTGCTGCAGCCCCTGACGAACCGTGCTCGGTGCAGACTTGGCCTGAGGCAGATACTCCCCAAGCAGGGGCCATTGTGGTGATTGTCGTTGACACCATAATTGGCACTTTTTTTTATACCTAAGCTTACACCTCACAGTCCAACAATTGGCACTTTTATTTTAAAAGTGTGACAATAGTATTGTGCTCGTTAAGGGGAGAAAGAGAGAGCCTTTACTTTTTTTTTTAAGAGAGACAGGGTCTTGCTCTGTGGCCTGGGCTGAAGCACAGTGGCACGATCATAGCTCACTGTAACCTCCAACTCCTGGGCTCAAGCGATCCTCCCGCCTCAGCTTCCCAAAATGCTGGGATTACAGCTGTGAGCCTCTGTACCCGACCTCCCTTTTAAAGTGGCGTCAGTAAACTGTCCTGCGGGCTGGCCCACCTGTTTTTGTACTGCTAGTGAACTGAGAATTGTTTTACATTTTTAAACTGTTGAAAATTTTGAGAAGAAGAACAGCATTTCATAGCGTGGAACTTACTTGACATTCCAGCTGTAGCGTCCTAAGTAAAGCGCGCTGGCGCTCAGCCACGCCCATGCGCTCAGGTGTTGTCTGTGGCTGCTTGTGTGCGACATCAGCTGAGTTGACCACCTGGCTGGCACTCTACTGTAGAAGTTTCCTGGGCCCCATTTACACAGAGGTAAATGACATTACTAGTTGGGATTTCCTTTAAAACCGTGCAGGACGGAG